CCAGAAATTGCAGCGCTTCATGCAGCAGCAGCACCTCTCCACCAGCTCGTGGCGCCTAAGACGAATACTATCACCATAGCGTCGCTCACAACTGTTTTGTAGATGACGCTGTACCTGCCCACAGTCCTCACATAACCCGAATACGGTGCTGGTAGGATGCCAGCGACCGTGCTGAGAATGCCGCTTCCCTGTAATTGGCCTTGCTCGATGAAATAGCGCGAGGACTGCAAGACCACCTCGAAAGTCGCGAATAGATAAAAGAAGTGCGCAAAGTTTTGCGCTGGAGTCGATTGGCCGACCCAGTCATCCTCCAGCACATTGTCGCGCGACATCTTGGATCCAGTAAACGGTGTTTGCAGGACGATGTAGACGGCGAGGCCAAACGAGAAGACAGAGTGTACTAAGCGCCAGGTCCACGCCGAGGATTGCTCTGGCAGAGGCTCAGAGGCACCGGCACCACCCTGCATGGCCGAGAACATACTGGCGAGATCGGGTGGCATGCCGCCTGGTGGTGCGCCCCCTTGACCTGGGGCACCGGGCATGCCAGGCATACCACCAGCGCCAGCGCCCATCATCTGCTGGAGCATGGCCATCATGGGATCCTGCGACGCATCCGAGCCTGGGCCGGGGCCGAATGGGCCAGATTGGGCACCCTCGAAAGCGAATGGCGAGGGGAGACGAGGCTGCGATGCCGGCGCGTAGTGGTGTTGCGAAATATCCACCTCATCTGGATCTGGAGTAGCCGTGCCAGACCCAGCGGGTGTAAACTGGGACGGGGTGGAGGCGGGTTTGACTAGAATGCCATTAGCCGTGCATTCACGCTGTTGTAGGACGGAGCTAGGGGGACTTTGTGGAGGCTAATGTATTCGAAAGGGAGGAGCCGTTACCTGGCACGTCTTTCTCGAGCTCGCTGAGCGGCTTTGGTGGGCCGCCCTGGAGAGCAGTAATCTGCTGGAGACGTGAGGCGCCGCTTTTGGCGGCAAGACGTTCTCTGCGCAGTCTGGCCTTGGTCTGGGCGGGCGACTCGCCGGGCAGCGCGCTAGTCGCGGAAGCGGGAGAATCAGCCATGGCAGCGGTGGGGTGATGTAGAGAGTCGAGCTGTCGCGGTAGTTATCAATCGTGATCGCATCTCTCACTATTGTTTGGAGGGGCTGAGGTCATGGCTTGGCACGAAACTAGCGGAAGGCGCGACGGAACGTCGGAATCTCCCCGCTAGCACTGGCACCATCTGCACCTCTTCACATGAGAGGCGACATGCCGAGCGCCTCCCTGCCTCTCGCGACCTTTGCTAACCTCTCACTCGATCGCAACACTATTGCGAAGTTTGTCATCCCGACAGCTTGGGTCACTATAGCCCGTCACACGCGCGGTACGGGCCGTGTGATGTCTATTTGCCGGCCATCTTTGACCGATTAGGCTGGCCAGCACTCCTGCTTCTGGTGGAGTCGCTTGAGCTTACGACTCTCTTACGAACATGGCAGCCCAAAGGAATCCGCGGATGCAAGTTCTATGCCCACTCAACATACGAGGAAAGCTAATGCAGTATTCGCCTGCTGTACCACCAACATGCATGCCGCCTGCAGCCTCCGGGCCTCTGGCTTGACCCGGGGATCGGGCCCATGGGAGGAGATATGGAAGCGATCCTTGTAGACCTGCGGTTTTCTTGCATGCCGGTTCTCAATTCCAGCCAGTACAGGCTGGACTACTGTGCTTCGTAAGCCCCTTTTCGATACGCATCCTCGCCTGTCTACCAGCTATTACTCAAACTTATCAGATTGATCCTGGGACCCTTGATGGCCATCGCATGGGACGCCTGTATCAAGCAGTATTGTGATACGGATGCCCTGCCAGTGTCATTTCACCATCTTTCTGGTGCTGGCGCCGTGCTATGTTTTCTCCACTGGGCGTTTCCGTCACTATAACCCCTATACACACCATGCCTAGGCCAGTCACTGCTCCTCATCCACATGTCACCGAATTCGTTAAATCGCTGTAGCGCTGCTCCCGAATAGGTCATGAAGGATGACCCTCAGCAAACTCCATGTCCAAACACATCCTAGAGATCTCCTGCATTCGATAAGAAAAAGGTGAACTTGGCGGTAGTTCGAGCGTGCCTGCCCAATTCTTTGAGATTGCCTAAGACCCACTTTAGCGGTAGCGGCTGCCGTTGCTGCTGTTGTAGCACGATATCTACATCGCTCCTACCTAGACGACGAGGCGAGCGACAGCTCCTTCCGGGTTGTGAAACGGGTGTGACGCGCTCAAAAAACACGTTCCCTACACTTGAAAATTTATTTCTAGCTTTGGTTTCGTCCCAACCCTTCTTCCCACGTCCTTCACTCTTGTGACATTCACCTACCGACATGTATCCAAACATGTTTGTTCCAAGTACCATGGCTCGGAGACAACCTTTCCGGTCGGCCTTCACTCACGTAGCACGTCTATCATCGCATCACAGAACTCAATCGACCTTGGTCGCTCAGAAGCCCTACTGGGATCACATCCAACCATGGAAGGACGTCTCCGCAGAGGAATTTATATCTTACAGATGGCAGGTACGTACATACAAATCTCTTTGAATCCCCATGATACACGATTCGATACAAGACTTACTTCCTTAGCTTCGCAATACCATCTCCGATAAGCACAAGCTCTATCAGTTCCTCAACACAGCTTTGCCCGACAAATTACTGCGCTCGCAGCATGATCAACTCAGGAAGATTCGTACCAAGAACGATTTCATCGAGGATGCTGTGCGTAACTCACTAGCTCGCACTACCCTATACGCATATACATGCTGACATGGATACAGATCGCTGCTATCAAGCTGGCACCCATGGCCATCCGCCTAACACCACACGTACTCTCGCTAGTTGATTGGCAAAACGCCGTGGATGACCCTATCCGACGACAATTCCTCCCGCTCCGAAGCGGCATCATCCCTGATCACAAGAACATGGAGCTGGACTCCTTGCACGAAGAAGCAGACAGTCCCGTTCCTGGATTAGTCCACCGATATCCTGGAAGAGCTTTGTTCCTGGCCACATCGATCTGCCCTGTATACTGTCGCTTCTGTACGCGATCCTACGCAGTCGGGGGGAACACCGATACAGTATCGAAGAAACCGCAAAAGCCCAGCCGCAAGCGATGGGAAGTCATCTTCAACCACATCGCCAACGATGAGTCGCTCGAGGACATTGTTGTTTCCGGCGGTGACGCCTACTTTTTGCAGCCCGATCACATCAAAGAGATTGGCGAGAGACTACTCAACATTCCGCACATCAAACGGGTCCGATTCGCTTCGAAGGGGCTGGCTGTAGCTCCTGGTCGCATAGTTGATGATAGCGATCCATGGGTCGACAGCTTGATAGAGGTGTCTAACAAAGGCCGAGAGTAAGTTATATGTCTATCCATTAATATGTGATAAGACTGACATGACCTCGCAACTTCTAGCATGGGCAAGCAAGTTTGCCTACATACCCACATCAACCATGCCAACGAGATCACATGGATAACGGAGCTGGCTGCGAACAAGCTTTTCAAGCATGGGGTCATTGTGCGCAACCAGTCAGTTCTGCTGAAGGGCGTCAATGATGATTTCGGACCGCTTTCAGACCTCATCAAGAAGCTCTCAAACATCAACATACAGCCGTACTACGTCTATCAATGCGATATGGTCCAAGGCATCGAAGATCTCCGAACACCCCTCAGCAAAATCATCGACCTCGATAAGGAACTCCGAGGGACTCTGTCCGGCTTCATGATGCCGTCCTTCGTCATCGACCTTCCCGGAGGTGGTGGCAAGCGTCTTGTCTCAACATATGAGACATATGAGGACGGCGTTGCGGAGTACAAGGCGCCTGGTCTTCCGGGACTCAAAGGCACGAGAACATACACGTACTTCGATCCGAAACCTGTTGAGTCAGCCGTACTGGAAGAGTTCCGACAAGGCCAGGTCCAGGCTCTGGAGAGAGGCGAGACGCTCGAGCAGTTCTTTGCCAAGTCACCTCCTCGCCCACCGATCCCTACTGGGCCGATGCTGCCTACGCCCGAGCAATCTCCCCGACCATATCCAGGTATGATGGTGGAGCGACCTCAGCCATGGACACATGAACAAGCGAGGACTGAATCGGCATATGCGTAATCACATGATACGCGTTGCGCGTTACGCGCTCGCTAGCAACAGCGTCTTGTAGGACACACACTTTTTCAACATCAGAGGCGCGGCATTCGAACATAGACATACATTGACGACGAAACGGCCACATAACATCACGGCCGCTACCCTTGATCCTCACCTGGCTCAAACAGGATAACAGTTTGGTCGAACGTTTCATATCACCTTATAATATTCGCTCACTTCTTTGTATTCGTTATCATCTTACATGTTCCCCACCGTCCGGTTTTTTGTATCAAGAATGGTACTGCAGATACTGCGCAAAAGTTTGACCAATATACATTTTACATCTCCATACATAGATCCATATTGAATTCCACCCTTTGTTTCTCAGACCACCGACTAGCATTGCTCCGTCTCTGCCAGTGCCAGTAATGTGCAATGTATGTATCCAATTACCCCATCATGAACATCGTTACCATTATCAGATCTAGAATCTCAAGAGAAGACGTCGTTGCAGCTTGTCGATCGTGTGCCCCTGCGCGCCTCGCCAGATAGTCTGCTTATAGAAGACCTTCAACGCCTGCTCGCTGCCCAGCAATTATGAAGCTTTCTGAGTTGATACGGCTCAAGGGCTGACATGCTTAATGATAGCTAGCTAGCTTCCAGAGCGGAAAATCGCTTCTCAAGGCCATCTTGTTCAAGCTGCAGTAGTCGTGTATGTATCGGTATTAGCACAGTGAGCTCTTTCAGCGCTGGTGTCACATATATGAACTATAAACATTTATCACAGTGACCCAGTAGAGAAGAGCCTTGAAGAAGTTGTTCAAAAGATCTACATTTTGAAGTTGAGTAAGGATTGTACCAAAGCTGTCCTGTCTCTCTAGCACCCGATAAATATCTCATCAATGCGGAAAGTCTGAGGATTATCGGCAACGAAATAGCAAAGCAACGTCCCCACTGTATGCGTCGCTACAAATGTCTGTCCGCCACCGTTGGGTCCGGAGAGCCAAGAGTTGACACGCCCGTCATTCGTCAGAGCCCGCGATATCATGTTCGGCCCGGTAAACTGGCACTGTATAACGCTAGATGGCGAGTCTGTGACGAGGTACTTGTAGGAGAAGGTATATGTAACACCTGTAATCAGACCGGTGATTGTCTGGCTCAGGACCATGCCGGTGGATGAGAGGGGGTCTACTTTTGTGACTTGGACCTGGAAAGAGGAGCCGCCGCTGGAGCCACCGTTGACTCTAGACCAAGCTGGCGGCGCATTCCTGTTATCCCACAACTCCGTTTGCCAGGATGACATAGCATCTTCGAAGCCACCGTTTTTGATGAGGTTGGCGCCGGCAGTGCACGTCGGCGCTGCTGGTGCGACTACCGAAGTGACGATGGTAGTTTGAACAGGCAATGTGGTAGTGACTATTACAGTGCCGGAGCTAACGGTCGCAGTGGTCGTAGTAGACATTGTAGTAGCTTCTGTGACGGGCGTAGCTTGAAGGCTACAGGCTGCGGACACAGCACTGGGAGCAAAGTCGGCAAGAGCAGCAGGCGTATCCTGAACGGCAACGTCGCGCTTCCGGGGAGATTGAGTAACTGTCGTGGTGGTTGTGGTTACGGGCGCATTGGTGATGACAACAGTGGTAGCGGGGACAGTGGCAGTTACAGTGGCGATCACAGCCGAAACCTGTGTCGTGTATCCAAGAAAAGTAGAGCAGAAAGGCTGCAGAGACGAAGCAACAATAGCAGACTTTGCGGCAGCGACATCGCAAGGCAGCTTAGGCTTTCCAGGATCAGCGGTGTTGGAGTAGGAGTAGCTGGAAGCAATCGTGTAGTGGTCGTCTCCACGGTACTGGCCATCGTTGACAGCAACGCTCTTCGCCCATTTCTGGGTGTACATCGAGCAGTATTGGCCTTGGGGCTCGCCGTTCTTCATCAGGACGTAGGTGTTGAAGAACTTGCACAGCATGCGGCTGTTGAGGTGCTCGACGTTCCATTTTGTCTCAGCTTCGCATGCGGCGGCGCAACGGGCGGGTTCGAAGGGTTGACCGTCGTTGAAGAGCTTGTAGCCCATGTACTGGATAAGAGTCAGCGGCTGTATGTGAACGAGGTGGTTATGAAGTGCTTACAGTATCGTCACCGTTGCAGTCATTTGGAGCGTTGATCGCGACGTTTCCAAGAGACTCGCCGCTGTAGCCGTCGACAGAGACTACGCGTTCACTGTCATAGCCTGAGAGTTGTTAGAAAAATTGCTCCTCATCCATATTGAACTCCGATGGACGTACCGTTTGATCCAGCAATGACTACGTGAAAGTCTGCGCGCCACTGTCCGCTGTTGACAGCTGTTTCGGCGGTCACAGGGCTACCCCACAGTACACACTTGATGACTGTAGTGCTAGCGGGGTTAGAGCATGAATCGGCAGGAACTACAGAAGGGTCCCTCTCGTAAACTGTAGACAATCTTAGTAAGAGGGAGTCGGGTAACGCTTCGAGGAGTAACACTTACAGATGTTGAACGCTGAGCATCCTTCCTTCTCAGTGCAAGAGTCGGCACAAGCTTGAGTGTCGTAGGTATCCAAGGTCTTGTATCCAAGATATGCCACGGCGTTGTTGCTGCCCTTCAAGTTCTTGAACTTGTTGACATAGCCAGTCGGTGTTGAGGCATCAGTGGCAGCCTTCGAGATCTCCTCCATAGCAAGGAAAGCTTCCGGAGAGTCGGGGCTTGGGACTGGTCCTTTTCCAAGAGGCTGTTCTGAGCAGTCCCAACCTCTCCGCTTCAGTGATTTGTCGGCAGAGGCAGGATCCGCGAGGACTGAGGCAAAGGTGTCGGCAACCACAGCATCTGGAGAGTAGGGCACGACCTTGGTACCAGCACCCTCACCAAGCGGAGTCTCAGTGATTGGCGCGGCGGGTATCTCAGCGACTTCACCGAGAGGGATTGATTGAGGCAGGGCTGCTGCGCAGCCTGTCATGGCCAAAGCCGCGAAAGCATGAAATGAACGCATGCTGAACTAGGAGGGATGATAGAAGGCTGAGGAGAGGATGTCGGCGATGGCTGCTGATGGATTTTTCTGTACCTGGACACAGACAACTCTTATAGCTATTCATGTTGGAGGTTCACCACACACTCCAGCGGAGCTGCCGATGCGATAGATCTGTGGCGTTGGTCCCGAAGTATCATGGTGAGCTGAGTTCGACGAGCCTCGTCCCCAGATTCTTTCAGCCCGTTCGAATGTGCAGATTGGACAAGGGACTAAACTCGCGTGAGGGTAAGAGTGTGTACATAGGCGAGGATGCCAAGCGTAGACCAACGATAGCTGGACATGGCCTCGACGGGCAGGGCTGAAAAGATGTTCCCAATCTGGTAAGACGAGTACTTGGGCTTGCGATGACTAGATTGAATGCGGAGTCCAGCAGTCTCGTTGGAGACGAGATGTCGCTCGATGAATTCGAGATCTCGGGAGGATTGTCTGGGGACTCGGGCGTGAGCATTGTTAGCGGCGGCATTTCACCACGTGTGCTGTGAGAGTCCTGCCGAAGCCTTCCTCACTTGGGTACCGTCTCTTCGTTGTTCAACCCGATGCAGCACAAGGGAGGTGAAACTAAGTTCTTTCCCCTGGCGAAAGTGTACACATTGGGGTAAGCGAGGATCGCTACCTTTATTGCCGGCTTGCTGGCGCCTCAGGGCGGCTCGTGCCTGAGCTGAAAGAAAAGGTCCGAGCCAACAGCGTTTCCAAGCCTCGCTGGGTCCAGGCTTCCCCACGACAAATGCACACTAACTGGCAAAGCGACATCCAGGCCATCGATGGAAACACCGGAAAAGAGTGTGCGTTGTTAAGTCTAACTGATGTTTGCCATGGTGGTCTCGTCTCGCGCCGGTCACCGCCGCATGCGCCCACAGACAATGACGGGGAAAGCACTCGGTACCACGACCTTGGGACGGCAGTAGCAAGCCACAAGACGAAGATAGACGCAAGGCTCATATCGATGTCAAACAAAACCCACGTCAACATCGCATCCTCGTAGCCTCATGCTCCCGAGGTCTGTTTGAATGGTAAAAAGCTGTACAATGGCTGCATAGATGCGTTGGAAGTTCCACCAAGTCTTGTGTATACAAGGCTTGAAAACACTCCACGCACCAAGCGCGCCAGCGCAGAACAAGCGGAAGCTCCGCACACAGGCGAGGACTGTGGCTACCTGAGTATCTCAGTCTATCCCCTTACTCGTGATGAGCACGACAAAGGTCTAGCGCCACCAGCGTGCTCGCTGGGAGAAAGCTAGCACGAGCTTGATGCAAATTTGTGCCTGGGGATGGCTATGGGTTCAAACAACAACACAAGCATTCGTTGTCGTGTATCTGTTGCTTTTCATGGCGTTCAAGCACTGAATGCATGCAACGATCTCAAAACATACACATGAGTGCTTGAGGTCTCTGTATCAGTGGATAGCATGTCTCGTAGTGCAAACTCCTGGAGATTGTACCACGAAACACGCTATCCACCGATACAGAGACCCCAACTCCAAGAATCCCACACCTTACAACCCCCTAGCCAACTTCGCCGCCATCTTCAACCCGGTCCCAGGCCTTACATCACCAACCCACATACTCTCCGCATCCCCATCAATCCCCTTCCTCGCCTTCTCAAACGTCTCTTCCATCTTCGACCTCAACCCGCCCTCCTCATCAATTCCACTATCCTTACCCCATAGCTCCAGCGCCCTTTCCATATCGCCACAAGCAAAAATATACTCGCCCAGCGCCATGTGTACAGTACCCAACACATACCACGTCTGCGCCCTCTCGCGGTCGGTGAAGAAAGAGGGTTTGTTCGGTGGAATCAGCTCAACGGGGATGGAATGGAACCAAGGGTTTGAGGTGGGGGAGGGAGCGTCGCATGCCAGACTGAGGGCTTGAGAAACTGATTTCTCGGCTTGCAGGAGATCTTTCGCTGCTTTTCTGATCTCGTCTGTTGGGTTTGAAGTTCGCAACCAATGTTTTGTTGATGTGAGGCTTCTCAACGGGATGGATAGACTGATGCCAAGGCCCAGTTCTGTCTTCCAACGTAACCGCTGCATGGACTTGTTGAACTCTTCCTCTTGGGAATGAAGCGTTTCGGCATGCGTCAGGTATCCATATGTCAGCGCAATGATAGTGGCTTGAGCATACTCATTCGCAAGCGCGTACTCTTCCTTCTCCCTTGCTTCGTCCGCTAGATCAGCCAGTTCATGTACACTAGCCATATACGCCTCTGCTGTAAACTTCTCGCCCATCATATTGTTCTGCAGCCCCTCCGCGTACCGTGGAAGAAGATTCTGGCCATCAACTTCCACCTTGCCGAAACCACTCAGCAGACGGAATAGCTCGAGCAGATCTCCCTGCAATTTAGAAACGGGGAAACCGTACGTGTTTACCACATTAAGGAAGAGACTGCGTCCCTGAGCCCACGTCTTTGTTGCCCGGCTTGCTTGGTCAAGGAAGTTGATAAGCCGGGGGAGGTATTGAGCTGGGAACATGACAGAAGCGCGTTTCTGCGCGCTGTTCTTCTCCACGAGGACGATTTCGAGGGCGTGGCGCGTACTCTTCTCCACTACCTCACTCTTCGCTGTCGAGAAAAGCAGCCCAGAGTCTTCGAGCAACGTCTTCGCGTGCCGGGCATCGCTTGTGTAAACATCGAATCTGACCCACAGATTCTTCTCGTAGAAATACGACAACGCATCTTTGCTTATCTCCTTGTTAACAAGGAACAAAGCTGTGTTCACGGGGAACGGGTTGCGTGACGCGGAGAAGGTCAGGATGCCTTCGTCTTTGGAGATGGTGTGCGTGTAGGACACGTTAGGTGCGCCGTGGTTTACGAGTTCGGTGTCAAGGCAGTGCTTGTAGATGTTGTTGCGGACGGATGGGGGCAGGTCGGTTAGACCGAGAGGCCGCTTTCGTGGAGTTTCGGTGAGGGAAGCCGCTTTTATTTTGGTGGCGAGCGTGTTGGCGGTGGCTTCCATTGAGTCGCGCTTTTCGGCTGGGATTGGGGCGGTGGTTGCCATGGTTGGGTTTGGGGGGTTGGGAGGGCTTGGTTTGGTGTTAGTTGGGTTGAACGGACCTCGCGATATCAAGTTATTATAGCTTCAAATATCATTGCTTTTGCTTTAGCTGCTTACCTGGTTTCAGTAGCTGAACGAGTGCTGTGATTCAACCTGGCGATGATGCTGGCAAACTTCAGGCCGCTGAACGCGATTCGCAAGCTCAACAACGTCAAAGGTCGACTCAATTGATCAAGAAGCAGCCAAAGAGGAACGGATATGATCCAACGAGCAAGCATGAGCTCCATTGCGGGGTTTTATAGCTATCCCCAGCTACAGAGGGGTACCTGCCATCAAGTGCGGGGAAACAAGGATACATGTGGAGATCACCAGTACACGCGCGTGCGGATCCGAGTATGTTCCGCTTTCAACTTATAAGCTTTCTGGCTATACAACTACACAGCCAAAGTACATGCGTAGTGCTGATGGCACGCGCACGTGAAAGGTGCGGGGAAGCTCTAGTCCGCCCAATCGGCCGCTAGCCACCTCCGCGGGGTTGAGCCTCATTGTCAGGTACCTAGGTACGTACATGTGTCGATCTACTCTACAAATGCGGTAAACGCCTTGAGCGGCTTCGTGGCCTTGAACTCTAGCTCTACACCTGGAGCGACAAAAAAGATGTAGCCGGCGCTTAGCTTGTATTCCTTGCCGTTGCCCTTCATGGTTCCCTCGCCTTCGGTCATGATCATGACACTTGGTCCACCGAGCGACCGGATCGTCTCGGAATCGCCATCGCCCATAGTCGTGGCTAGCATGCTGAATTCGCTCAGAGGTGGCGCGTACAGCTGCGTCTTGCCGTTCTTGCTTCCGTTGAAAGGCTTTGCTGGTAGGATTGCCTCCTTGGCGTCATGTGGTGTGAACGTCAAGCAGGAGCAGAACATGTCGATGTTGTCGCGGTCGGCGCGTGGGCAGAAACCAGTGTTCAAGACGTTGTTCGATCGGGCCATGCACTCGATGATATCACCGGAGAGATATGCGTGGATACCGTCGGCGGGGATGTAGATGCTGTCGCCAGCCTTGAGCTGCAGGTAGTTCATGGTGATGAGAGCAACAAGGGTTCCATTGTCGGCCTTGTCGTACTGCTCGGCTAGGCGAGGGATCATGTCTGGGATGTAGCTGGATTCGCCAAACTGCTCCTTTGGAATCTTCATGAGTGCGTCGTTGGTCTTGCGTACGGCATCCTCAGAGGCCAACAGCATCTCTTTGACAACGTGCTTCAGAGTTTGGTCGTCGAACTCAGGCTTCTTAACCTCTGGAAGGAAGGCTTGGAGTGGCGGTAGCTGCATCAAACGCTCGATGTCTTTCAGTTGCTTGAAGCCGCAAAAGGCCTCGAAGTCGCCAAGGGCCAACGCGATCTCTGGCTTGTGGTTGGGGTCGGTGAACTGATCTGGGTTCTTCTGGTGGAGCTTGGAAGCCAGGTCTTTGTTCTGATACTGTGTTAGTTGTGGAGCAAATTGATATAGAAGTGAACATACTGGGTGCAGTTGCAGAGGTAGGGCCTTCGCTATCGACAGAACCTTGGGCAGATATGGCAGCTTGGTGTGGTTGAACTTCTCGGCAGTGTTCTTTCCGACAAGCTCGTCTGGATGTCTGTCGAGCACCTTTTGAAGGTCCTCGCCAGTCTCTAAGACATATGAAGGCAGTTCAGGATATGTGCCCATCCACCTGGAGATGTTAGACGGCATTCGACCATATAATTTGGAAACTTACATCTCAGCGTAACTTGTGTTCTCGTCAATCTTGAATTCTGTGCCGGGGGTCTTCTCGCACAAAGTCGCCGCCAGCGACTTTGAGCCCTGCTTTCCCCATGGGTACTGGTTGCACTCGCATCTCAGTTGCATAACCTTTTCGACCATGATTGCGGTTTGCGAATTATTAGATGGGTTAGGACGGAATG